AAAGTGCTTTAGTGAGAACATGCGTCTAGAACACTCAGGAAGTGATGGCTCCTGGGAGACACTAGGCACTTGGCGATGGGACTCATGCCGCCTAAAGGAATTGCTCTCTGCTACTTGGATCTATTTTCCTTCAACTTTCTTTGCATGTAAACATTCTTTGCAAATATGACTTCAAGTTTTCATGGTATTTTCTTATTTATACAGCAGGACTAAGAATAACCTGCCTGGGCGTCTCCATGCCGAGTAAGGTGACCTGCTGACGTCCCACGCAACCCAAGTCAGAAGCTCATTTTTTAATAAAAGGGGACCTGCAGGGCCCTGGCCCCCATTTTGGGTAACTGTTGCCTTGCTTGTGGACCTTGACCTTGATATCCTCCCAATGCTAATTCCCTGCCAGGTTCCACCCTCCTGAATGCTTAAGGGAAGTTCCTTGTCTGTGTATCCTGAATAATGGGCGTTAACAGCTTAGATGCAAGATTGTAAAACATCAATAGCGAACTTCTGCCCTCTGGGGTCCTCCCATTGTGCTATAAGCCTATATTTAAGACCTCCTACCCCCTTCAAGAAATGACATTCGACATTTAAAATTTATATATATATAATTGAATGAATACTGCTAATGTAATCTATGAATACCACAAATGTGATTAATATCATGAGTGTAAGTAATGAATATCATGAGTGTAATTTAAAAAATAAATTAAAAAATTAAAAAAAAAAAAAGAATATCTTGTTTAAGCTACTGTTCCATTTCATGCCAGAAGCCATTGGTCCACTGCCTTTTCAGCTGCCTTTGAAGAAAGGGGCACTGTACCTTTTCTGGATTGCAAAGCCACTTCAGTAATGGTGCCATATTGTCCTGGCCTCAGAGGAAGCCTGTTGCTAAAGCCACAACCACACTTCTTTTGGCAAGGATTGGTAGTTCTTTGTTTCGTGTCCTGTCTGTCCATTTTGGACAGCATACTGTTAGCAGTCAATGCCAGGACACTTCGTTGTCCAGTGGCTAACTTTTGCCACAATGAAAGTTAACTCCATATGCATTTTCTTTAATGCCCATATCTTCTCTGAAGTAGATTGGTGCTTCCAGGAGCCGATATGTCTCATAATCATAAAAAAAGGGAAAAAATTCTAAGTTATTAAAACATTTTAAATGCCATATTCTGTAGATCTCTGAAGGGTTTGAAGATGACCTAGGTTTCTTCTGAGGCTGGGGAGATGGAGCCAACCTGTTCTTCTAGCCTTTAACCTCACAAGTTACTGACAGGGTTCAAGCATCTTAGAACCATAATTGGGAAGACCACACACACACACACACACACACACTCCTTTTTCTTTCAGCTTTTTGACCAGGTGTAGAGAAATTCTTCCCATGTCTGAAAGTTTGCACTTTGTATTCTGATGGAGTCATCTTCTATGGGCTTAAAGCAACCAGAAGAGCAGGGAGATGTCAGGAATGAGCCACCAATGACCTTGGTTCATGGATGCCATTGTTGAGATAAAGCAGCAGCACTAGCCACTCCTTAGAGGTGCCCCCCACCCGTTCCCTGCCAGTTCCAGGGCTGAGATGGGGAGAGAGGAAGTTTGCCTCATGCTTCACCTCATGTTAAGGGTCACAAGGCTTGCTATGTCACTGTTGCAGTTTTGTGCTCTGTAACCTTCAGAGAAGCGGGGTTCATGTCCTCTGTTCAGCAGAATGCCAACTGGACCTTAGCCATGCCGGATACTCCCACTTGACTGCGGAAGCCTCATGCGGCTGCCGTCAGGCGTGAGTCAGTCCCCAGCCACTTATTAGATGCCTGTGCCCTGTAACTCAGCACAGAGTGATGTTTTGTGAGCATCTTCACTTGTCTTTTACATTTTTTAAAAATTATTATTATTTTATGTGTATGTGCCTGAGTTTATGAGTGTGCTGCACCACATGGATGCACGTACCTACAGAGGCCACAAGAGGGCATTAGAGCCCCTGATCCAGATACAGCAGTGGTGATGTGAGTGCTGGGAGCCTGGGAGCCGAACCTGGGTCCCCGGAGAGGAGGAGGTGCTTAACTGCTGATCGTTAGCCCCCAGGGTCTTCTCACACTCTCAGGCTGCTAGATTGAGCACTCCTGGGGGTGGAGTGAGCTACACTCACAGCCTCATGCGGAGTTTGTTTGTTTATTTAATTTGCCTGTTTGTTTTCTAGACAGAGAGAGAAGTGGAGTTAGATGATCTGGGAGGATCTGGGAGATGAGGGAGGGAAATCCATGATCAGAATACGTTGTATAAAAAAATAAAAATGAAAAAGCTTGTGAGGAAACCAACAGGGGAGCATTCGAGTCAGCTGGAAATTGAGGGTCACATAGTCCAGTCTAGAACATTCCTGGCCTACCAAGAAGCACCCCGTCTTTCAGATACGCTTCTTTCACTAGCGCTTGCTAAGGTGTCACTGTGAGGCTGACTTAGAGAGGCGGAGGGGTGTGTGAGATGGAGGCCCTGCTCACAGGATCTAACGGTCTAGGTGCTGTGCAGATGAGGTGTGCAGGCAGGAGCCGGGGTGGGAACAGGATGGAGGCAGGCTGGTCGTTTATCCTATGGTTGCTTCTCTCCCTCCTTACCGGACTGGTGCTTGTCGTCTGGGCAGTGATTATCATCTAGCTGGCAGGTTCTTAGGGCAGATTTGTTCTTCATTCTCCCCCCTCATCTGCCCTGACCGTCCTCTTGTTACCCTCATCTGCCCTGACCGTCCCCTTGTTACCCCATTCATCTGCCCTGACCGTCCTCTTGTTACCCCATTCATCTGCCCTGACCATCCCTCTTGTTACCCCCTCATCTGCCCTGACCGTCTTCTTGTTACCCCCTTCATCTGCCCTGACCATCCTCTTGTTACCCCCTCATCTGCCCTGACCATCCCTCTTGTTACCCCCTCATCTGCCCTGACCGTCCTCTTGTTACCCTCATCTGCCCTGACCGCCCTGGTGTTATGTAGACTCCCTTCAGAGCCGGGGCTAGACTATAAATATCACCTGTACCCTCACTGGCTTACCCCGCTGGAACATTTATGATGAAAGATGGGATGTCAAGAGGAGGCGCGTCCAGAGGGGTCTCAGGGCCCTGGATTTAACTGGTCCCTCTCCGCCATTCCTCGTTCTTCCCTGGCTGCACTGCAGCTCTTCTCACCTGGGAGATCCGGCAAAGGCCAGGAGGAAGCAGCTGCAGAAGAGACAGAGCAAATTCTCCACGATGTCCCATCCGCATGCCTGAGCAGGGGCTTCGGCCGCTCTGCAGTCCACAGTCCCAGGGAATCTTGGTTGTGGGTTCTCTGCAAAAAAGAACCTCAGAGTGTGCTGTGTCCATTATACACTCAAGTTCTGAAAGAGGTGGATAAAGGCAGGGTCTTTTCCTCTTGTCCTCTCCCTTGTGTGGGATGCTGCTGCTGAAGGGAAGATCTGAGGCCTGGCCTGACCTGCCTGCGTGTTCTGGCCCTGCAGTTCCACAGTTCCACAGTTGTAGCCACCGCTCTTCTCTGAGCTCCACTTGGAGTGGGGTAACAGAACCTCTCAGAGCAAGAGATAAAGTCACCACAGTTCACACAGGCCTTTTCACAAAGCATGCCCTCACTAAATGGTCACTGTTGTTACTTTATTCTTAGGGGGAGGCAGTAGCAGAATCTCAGATGCGGCAGCTGGAGGGCTGAGCCGTCACTAACATGGGTTCCAACTGGAAGGTAGAGAGGTTCGGTGCAACAGTGACCCAAACCAACAAGAACGCGTCACCTTTGATGGGCTGCACGAAAACAAACCTTGAAACTCTTTTCTTAGACACACATGGGCATAAGTGGAGGTTGATCTCAACTTTAAAACATCCAAACTGTCAGAGATACAGAATTTGGAACTTTTAGCTGAATCATTTGAAATCACTTAGGGGGCTTCCCAGAAGTGTAGCAGCTCACTGAATCTTGTTCAGAAATGTGTTTGTGCATGCATGCATGCATGTTTGTGCATGTTCCTGCTGATGGAACCCAGGTCCAGAGTGTGCTAGGCCAACACTACCCCTGAGCTGCCTGTGAAACACTTGACTCATCGGTGTAAGTGATGGAGGAAGGAAGTACTCCCAGCTCCCCACAGAGCTGTTCAGCAGGGAACACTGGACTGTCAGCCCAGTCCCCAGGCTGCCCAGAACAGACTTAGACCAGAGCCCAGGCCACCAGAGAGCCAGGCTCCTGCAGTGTCAGACACACCAGATTTGGAAGGATTAAGCTGTCCACTGTGGAAATGCTTAATTCCTCTTCTCGAGACATTTTTGGAAGGCTTTCTGCTTTTTTAATCTCCTGACTTCTTGTTTGTGACCAAGTTCAAATTCCAGGGAGACGCAGCCAATATGTATGATTATTTCCTCTTGTACTAAAAGTGGAGCTCAAAGAATGAACTTACTTCACAAGAAATAAATGTTCCCTTTGGGCCTTAGACTAAAGTGAGTGTGTACAGCCGCTCTGGGCTTGTGCTGTGTGTGCAGTAATTAAACACTAACATGAAGAAAGATGTCAGGGGAATGCATTCATGGTCTTTTTTTAACATAAAGCCAAAAAAAGAAGAAAAGAATCTTTAAAAAGACTTTCCTCTTGTCCTCTCCCTTGTGTGGGATGCTGCTGCTGAAGGGAAGATCTAAGGCCTGGCCTGACCTGCCTGCATGTTCTGGCTCCACAGTTCAACAGTTGCACAGTTTTAGACATGTCCCTTCTCTGAGCTTCACTTGCAGTGGGGTAACAGAACCTCTCAAGGTCACTACAAGAGCAAGAGATAAAGTCACCACATTTCACACAGGGCTGTGCACAGAGCGTGCTCTCGCTAAATGGTCACCGTCGTTACTTTATTCTCAGTGGGAGGCTAGAAGATTCTTAGGGACCTGAGAGTTGGAGAGCTGAATACATTGTGCAGGAGACTGTGTCTTACGTTTCCTAAAGTAGCTGGAGGGAGGTGAGGGAGCTGTGTGGACCATTACCTCACCGTTGCTGTGCTCCTTAGGTGACCTCTTCAGTGCCCTGGACTTTCCATTCCTGTATTTCTACAGATTCCACGGCAGCTGCTGCGCCAGGTAAGCCTGCGCCACGTCCTGTGTTTTCTGTGCCATTAGCTGATCTTCATCTCTATGCAGCCCAGCGTAGTCACGGGGAACCAAGGGAGCTGCAGAGGTGGGCGGGGGCAGTCTGGGAAGCAGCTTTCTGTCTCCAGTGGGTCATTCCTGACTACTCACATGTGCTCAGTGCCAACCTGAATCCAGCGGACCCTGGCCTGGTGCAGTGCCTCAGCCGGGACTGTGGTTTTCCAGCTCGCTGAAGACTGGGGCTTCCCCACTGTTCCCTCCCCATCCACCACACGGGGCTTCAGTGTATAAAACTAATGAAATCCATTCAGTTCAAGGGATCCTTGTGTCCTCTCCGTTTTGATCTTGGCTTCTCTCTTGCTGCCGAAGGCAGCCCACCAAAACCCTCCGTGGAATCCAAGATTCAGAAGTACAGGGTAGAAATTGGCAACCAGTAGATGTCTAGACACCAAGGTGGCCAATAGTATCTGGCCTTGGGAAGGACTCGGGGATGAGACCAGTCAGGCAAGCCCACCCTGATCCACAGAGCTTCCTTGCCATCCTGCCCCGCCGTTTCTGACACAGTCTTGAGTGGTGAGAGGTGGAAAGCCTCGGGTGACAGTCTCAAGCTTGTATTCTGCCGTGGTGGTGGAGAGATGAGACCTAGCCAGCCCCTGGGATGGTGGAGAGAGGAGACCTAGCCAGCCCCCGGGTTGGTGGAGAGAGGCGGGGTTGGTGGAGAGAGGAGACCTAGCCAGCCCCCGGGTTGGTGGAGAGAGGCGGGGTTGGTGGAGAGAGGAGACCTAGCCAGCCCCGGGGGTGGTGGAGAGAGGAGACCTAGCCAGCCCCGGGGGTGGTGGTTCTGGTTGTGTAGCCTCCGGGCCGATTATCCCGTCCTCCCAAGTTTCTGTTTTTCCATCTGGAACGTAAAACAGCAACAGTGGCTAAAGTACGTGTAAGTTCCTAAGCATCATACCTGGCCCAGGAAATGGGAACCGTTAGTAATACCTGCTCAGGTGAACTGTAAGAAAAATCTCAAAACTGTTGATGTTGAATCCTGGCTCTGCTGAGGGATATTAAGCAGGATTTTAATTTGTCTTGACTCGTCTAGGGATAATGATTCTATTTGTCTTATAGGCTTTTATACTAATTAATCCAGGAGTGTACTTTGAATAGTGCCTATGCATAGTAAATTCTCTGTGAGTGCTGTTGTCATTAGTCAAGAAAAAACAAACAAAACCAAAACCCTCAACCATGAAACCAGAAAATGGTGCCCATGGAGCGATCTTTGCAGACAGGTGAAAAGTTGAGATGCAGGGACTGGAGAGTTGGCTCAGCGATTTAAGAGCATTTGTTGCAGAAGACCAGGGTTGAATTCCCAGTGCCCACATGGCAGCCCACAACCATCTGTAGCTCCAGTCCCAAGATGCACATGCATACAAGGAGGCAACACACACACACACACACACATACACACACACACACACATAAAATTAATAAAACAAAATTTTTTTTTAAGTTGAGGTTTAGCTAAGCACTGCTTCTGAAGTGAGTAGGTCATGTTCCTTGGGGTTATTGAGGCAATCTGAGTCTCGGAATGGCTTTATTCCCCTCAGAAAAGCTTCAGGGCAGTACCCCCGATGATCCTGTCCGCTCCCCACAGCTCTCCTCAGCTTGACTAGCCTGTTCGCTTGCCCTGAGCGGAGCTTTCACAATGTAACGCGTGCTGCCCAGGCATCTGGAATTGGTGTCCTTTGAGTGTGACAGTTTGGTAGTGTGAGTGAGCAGGCTCTGGGGTGTGGTCAACACTGGTTTGGTTATTTCCAAGAGAACAGCGTGCTCACAGCTCACTGGTTTTGGCTCTGCGTAGACACAACTCTGGCTGTTTCTGGCCCTATACAATGGACAGCTTTCTCCCAACTCAACAAGTTAGATCAGGCTTTTATTTTAAGAGCTGTCGATCTTTGCTTGAATTGTCTTTAACTCTCTGTATCATTTTACCCCCTGACTTCATTGCAATGCTGACATTTTAAAAATATGTACAATTTCTCCACATCATTTCAATGGTTCCTCCATGGCCATTTCTCAGATTAGGAGTGTACCTTCAGGAGGTCTTGGAAAAGCTCAGAGGGGGATCATGGATTACTGAGGGGAAGGAGGTAGCCATGACCCAGAGACCCCTGAAACAGATCTCTTTCTCCTGGGATCCTTCATTTCAGAGATTCTCCCTCTGTTTTTTAGAGGGATATTCCCCTATCAAGGGTAGAAGAGCTGAAAGGAGGCTAGAGATAAGGTAGCCACAGGATAGAAATGATTTACAAACAAGCCAGGCAGTGCAAGGGAAGCGCTGGACGTTTCTCTGAACAGCAGAGACTGGTTCGTCCTAGTCAAGTCTGTGCTGAGGGAGCAGGCTATGCTCATGCCCTTTGGCTGGAGGTGGAGAGGGAAGGCAAAACCCAAGGATACAAGGAGGTTTGTGAGATTGGACACACCTGTGATGCTGGTCTTGGCTGCTGCCGTGGAAGCTACCAAGAGTTAACTCAGAGCATTGGCTGCCTTCCTGGGTACCCCTTCTCTCAGAGACATGCACCCTAGAACATCCCGCTCCGACTCATTGATGATTACTTTAGATTTTTGTTGCGGTGACAGGTGTCGAAGAGAAACAATTTAAATAGCAAAGTATCTTTTTCTACTCCTGGCTCAGGCATCTACTCAAGGTTGTCTGGTTCCCTCACATTGGGCCTGAGAGAGATGATACTGTGATGGAACTGACAGTAGAAGATTTTCTAATGGATTTGCTTAGGAGACATTAAACCACACAATGTAGAATTTATCTAAGGGAGTGCTGCCCCTGAAACACCCCAAAGATAAGTATTAGCTCCCCAGGTCTGTTAGAGGTAGGCAGAGTTTACCATGCTAGGATGAAATGTTTGTTCACCAGGACTGACCAGCCATTATGCCTCCCACAGGCGGCTTACGGGGACGTGCAGGATTACAACTTCCGTTACATCCTGCCCTAGTCAGGGGAAGCAGAGTTCTGCCAGGTGGACGAGATGACACCAGGGAACAACCACTCAGAAAAACCCACAACTGGTGTGCTTAAACCTCTGGCCCTCTTTGCAGTGTGAATGGCCCACCTGCCCAACTCCTGTCTGTGTTTAAATTGTTCCAAGTGTAACCTGGGGACAGCATATGTAAAATGCATAAACCTAAAGACATATAAGTTTAGTAAATCTTCTAATCAAGACTGGCTCTTCCTTGAGCAGTAGCCACAGCCGGCGTGTGTGTGTGTGTGTGTGTGTGTGTGTGTGTGTGTGTGTGTGTGTGTGTGTGAAGATTTTCCCCTCTTAATGTCTAAGTGAGCAACTTGGGATGCATATGACTTCCTTAGCAGTGTACAGCAGAAGAGGTGTTTGCCTCCTGAAGCAGAGAAGTGAGCTAGGAAGTGTGCCGCCAGGGACGAATTTCTCCTAACCAGGTCCCACCTCCTGATGGGTCCATTATCTCTCAATAATGCCTTCAGATGATGAGTCCATAAATGGACTAATCCAAAATCAGAGACCTCATGATGCAGCCAAAGCCCCTCCCCAATATTACTTACATCTGTGACAGAGTCTTAGTGCCTGAGCTTTTGGAGCAATACTTACTATTGAAGACATAACAATGCCCACTTACATGTTTTTCTGTCGTGACTTAGCCAGGTTTCCGAGCTCTCTCACTGCCAGTGAAATACTCTCATCTCTATTTAGTGGAGGCTCAGGTTTCTAAACTGTTGTTTTTATCCAGGGGAACTAGAAAACACAAATATGATGGAGGTTGTGTGATGCTTAGAAATTCGACATCTACTGATAAACTAAGTGTAGTGATGGCGCGTACCTGTTATCACAGCCGCTTGGGAGGACGGGGCGGGAGGCGGGGAACTCCAGGCCAGCACGTGGCCGTGGCCGTGAGCCTGGCTCAGGGGTGGAGGAGGAGGAGGAGGAGGAGGAGGAGGAGGAGGAGGAGGAGGAGGAGGAGGAGGGATTGGAGCTGTAGGGAAGGAAGGCAGCCTCACTAACCCACGTGTGTTTTCTCCTTTCAGCGGAGTTTTAGGATTCTTTCTCATGCTCAGCACAGTAAAGCTGAGAAGCATTCTGGCCCCAGGGCAGTGTGCAGCCTGGATTTTCTTTGCTAAGGTAAGAGAGAGGGGCCGGGAAAGTCTACCTCAAAAGCCGGGTAACAAGCCTTGGCAGCATGGGCTATGTAGAGGGACCTTTAGGAAACCATTTTTAATGCCCTGTGCCTGGTGATAATTTTGAGACCTTTCACCTAATTTATCAGCAAGACATCATCGCACCCTAAAAGGCGACAGAGGAAAGCTGACAAATGGCCAGGCGGACAGACTCCGTGAGCCTGTGGGACAAGGGTTGTTACAAGAACAGCTTTTGTGTATCCGAGTGACCAGGGCTGACTGACGCAATAGAGAGAGGCGGGTGGGCTGTGAAGGCTGGGAGCCGAAAGGCAACAGTGAAGCACCATGGTAACAGACATGCTTTGAAGAACTCTCTTCTGGGCCTTCCTTCCCTCCGGTCTGAAGCAGTCGGGTACAGGAGTTGCTTCTGAGGAGCGGGATCCCGTCTAATGACGTTACGTTATCGCAGCTTCCGTCTTAAGCTATGTATGGTTTTCAGTTGCTTTGTTTTCTCCAAAAATGAGGTCACACAGTGGTGATGTCACCCCCACACGTGGTCTACCTTTACCAGAACTGTTCTCAGTAGAATGTGGAGCCTGGCTGAGATCTTCAGCATGAGAGAGTGAGGAAGCTGACAGTCTCCAAAACCAGCAGAAAGCTGGGGAAACATTGTTCAGAGTCTCCATTTTCATGCTCCAGAAATTGACTGAAAGCACACAAGAAAGCAGAAGTGTTTATTCATGGTAGGAACAGAGTGAGTTCAGTGTTCCTAGCTGGCGCTGTCCCTTCCCTCCTTCAGCTCTGTCAGTGTGATGGTGAAGCCAGGCAGGCTGTGAGGAGCCGTGAAAATTAGCTTTGCTGCCTCTAGAAGTCGCTCCCTCTGTTTGGGGCATTGTTCGTTCAAGCGGCCATTTCAGTCAGAAGTGAACAGGAGAAGCCGGTAGTTCCACCGTGGTGAGTTTACAGGCCTCACTGGAGTGAGCTGTGGGCGGTGGTCTTGCTGCTGACCTAAGTAGTTTTGGAGGTAAGAGCATCATGAGCTCTGGAGCCCTCCATGTAGCTCACATTGAATGCCTTCTGTGTCTGGGAACGCAAGAGGTGGAGCAGACTCGAACACACACAAAAGAGCCAGAGGAAAGTACAACCCAAGCAGATGTGAGAACTGCCCGAGGTTCAGATGTCCTTTCCAGACACCTAGAAGCAGAGGCAAACCAGATTTTCTGGCTCCTGGTATTTGAACAACCACCTCTGACTGGTCCTTGCCAGGACACCAGGTTTCATGTGCGTGAAGAATAAGGACAAATAATAGTAAAGACATCAGCGCTGTCTCTTTATGGGACACAGAGTTCACACATGGGCTAGAGAGACCACTGAACAATCAAAGCAAACAGCTGCAGTACTGAGACACATGGAGAAGTCAGAACCCAGAACTGCCACCACATGTTATCTAAAAAGCACAGCACTCAACCAAAAATCACAGACACTTAGAGAAGCAAACTGTGGCCTGTGTGGAGGGAAAGAAAAGCCAGTGGGAGCTGGCTCTGGGTATCTGCTTCAGATGTAGGAGTTAGCCCAGAACATGGCAAAGCAGCTCCTTAGGACACTCAGGGATGGAACTGCCGCTATGTAAAGAACAGAGGAAAGGCTCCAGAATCCCGAATGTCAGTCAAAGAGAATTAGCAGATAACCAAATGGCAAGTCCTGATGGAAAATACAGCTGAAATGAGATTTCTCTAGAGGGACTCAACAGACTTTAGATGGCAGAAAAAGAGAGAAGAAGGCATCATTTAATTCAAGGAGAAAAATAACTGAAAAATGTAAACAGCACTCCAGAGAGCTGTGAGACATATATATCAACATATACATAAAAGCAGTCTTCGAGGAGGAAGAGCCAGGGATAGGAAAATATTTGAATAAATAATGGATGAAACTCCCAGACTTTATGAAAGACATTAAAATCAGTAAGCCCTAAAAACAAACAAAAAACCAGAATGTTACCTAAACAAATTATAATCAAACTGTTAAAAGGCAAAGAGAAAATATTAAAAGCACCAAGAAAAAAGGATTCAGCACACATGGAGGAAATTAATGCAATTGATGAAAAATAGCAAACAAGCCTTAAAACAAAAATCTGGAGGCCAGACACAGCAAGAGGAGGCCACATTCAACATGCTAACATTCAACATGCTAACGGACATATGCAATCAGGGACTTAATATATAGCAAAACTGCCCATCAAATATGACAGAAGTAAAGACATTCCCAAGCAAATAAAGACTGAGCGATGTGTTGCTAGTGGTAATACCAGTAATTACATTGAATGTGAATAAACTAAGTATTCCTTTAAAAGGGATGAGAGACGGCTCAGAGCTTGGGAGCGCTGGCTGCTCTTTGAAGGACCCAGGTTTGATTCCCGGCATTCTCGTGGTGGCTCACAACTGTCTGTAAGTGCAGTTCCAGGGGATCCGACGCCTCTTCTGGCCTTTGTGGGCACCAGGAGTGAATGTGGTGCTTATACATACTTGTAGGCAAAAGACTCAAACACATAATAAAAATAAATGAATCTTTAAAAATTACTCCATTCAAAAGACATAGGTTGTCAGATTGTGTTTTTAAAAGGCAAGACCCAACTACATAGTGTCCAGAAGAGAGACACCTTGGATCAAGGATACAAGTGGGCTGAGTTTGAGGGCAAGGCAGGGCCAGAATCCTCATAAGCTGCTGCTAGACATGTATGCGGGCACTTTGAAGGACAGCTAATGCTTCCTAAAAGGCAATCTGACATTCAGGCTGCACCTCTGCGCCCAAGAAACGCTCGAGAGCAATGAAAACACACACCCACCAAAACCCCATACGTGGGTGTGTAAAAACACACCCACCAAAACCCCGTACGTGGGTGTGTAAAAACACACACCCACCAAAACCCCGTACGTGGGTGTGTGTAGCAGCATTAATAATAAAGCCAAAACATGTAAATAGTGGAGATGTAAGTTTCTTAGTGGATGGATAAATAAGGTATCATATATATGTGGTAGAATACTATTAAACCATAACAAGAAATGAGCTATTAATATATGCTATAATACAGATAACTCTTAGAAGCATTCTGCTAAGTGGAAACGCCTAGTCACATAAGTTATTCCATTTGTGTGAGGTGTCCAGAAAAGGCAAATTTATCCAGACAGAATGTATGTTGATGGTTTTTCATGGAGCAGAAATGTATTGGATGTAGGTTGTGGTTTTGTGGGATAGAAAAGAGCTAGACTGGGGGCTGGAGAGATGGCTCAGTAGTTAAGAGCACTGGCTGCTCTTCGAGAGGTCCTGAGTTCAATTCCCAGCAACCACATGGTGGCTCACAACCATCTATAATAAGATCTGACATGCAGGCAGAACACTGTATACATAATAAATAAATAAAAAAAATCTTTAAAAAAAAAGAAATGAGCTAGATTGTAGTGATGGTTGCATAATCACATAAAATTAGTAAATTTACTAAATTTGTTTATTAAAAATTACATCACTGGGGCTGGAGCCAGCCAACCACTGGATGGCTCAGTGGTTAAGAGAACTGACTGCTCTTCCAAAGGACCTGAGTTCAATTCCCAATACCCACATGACAGCTCACAACTGTCTGTAATTCCAGTTCTAAGGAATCTGAAACCTTCACACAGACGTACATACAGGCAAAACACTAATGCACAAAAAATAAATCTTTAAAAAACTTTAAAAACCATCACATTAAAAAAAAATCATGCCTTGGCCAGGCGGTGGTGTAGCATGCCTTTTTAATCCCAGCACTCGGGAGGCAGAGGCAGGTGGATCTCTGTGAGTTCGAGGCCAGCCTGGTCTACAGAGCAAGTTCCAGGAAAGGCACCAAAACTACACAGAGAAACCCTGTCTTGAAAAACCAAAACAAAAAATATGCCTTTAATTTTGATGGCTGAGTTGTGGCTTGTGAAGCATCCCCAAGGGCTGTAAAACACAGCACGCATTCCGTGTGTGGTTAAAACACGGCACACATTCCATCCTTCACAGTTTGATGGCGTTTGTCTGTGTATGGGCTGTCTGTTTGACCACTGGTCACTGGGAGTCTCCTTTTTTTTTTTTTTCTTCAAAACTTGAACTTTATAACATTTTCCTCAATTCTAGGGGAGGGGGCAGGTTTAAATTGGCTCTTGTGGGTTAGTGCTAATCCTTATGTGTGCATGATTAGATTTAGATGAATCATTAAGGTTTTTTGCAGCTTCAGTACATCAGATAATCTCTTTCTCTCTTCCCCCACCTTCAGTACATCTGATAATACCCCCCCCACACACACACACACACATCTTTTCTATCACCGATGAGCTCTGTGGTTCTTAGCGGCCAAGTAGTTCTTAGCTGCCCTGGACCAGCTACATGAGCCAAATGCACTGGCTTTTGTAAGGTGCCACAGCTGTACTTGGTGATACAGCATTGCCTGGTGATGTCGTCATGATAGCCCAAATACAGTGTTTCCAGAAAATGACTCAGGAGGATGGCCCTGTGGTGCTAGAGAAGATTTTGCATTCCTCAAGAAACTTGTAGACCCAGGCAGGGAGTTCATTCAAAGGCTGAGATGTTTTGTTCCTGGCTCCAAAAGTATTCTTTCTTAGCCATTGTCCAAGAGGTTGTCACATCAGCTATCATTTGCATGTTCTCTGCTTGCTTTTTTTTTTTTTTTTTTTTTTTCATGGGGTCTCACTGTGCATCCCTAACTGGCCTGGAACTCACTGTGTAAGCAGGCTGCCCTCAGACTCACAGACCAGCCTGCCTCTGCTCTTGAGGGTTAGGATTAATGGTATTGCCACCATACCTGGATTCAGTTATGTTTCTATCATGGTTATCATTTTTCTCTCTTGGAATCTGAGAACTACTTTAAGAGCCAGAAGGTATTATAGTGATTAGCAACCTTTGGAGGAGCCTCTTCTTTTGGTAAACGTGAGCATGTGAAATCTAATGCATGGGCAACTTCGTGAGCTCTCT